TCCAGTTTAGGGAAACCCATAAGCTGCCCAGTCATGGTAGTGATTCTGCCTGTGCATATAAAGGCACAAAATGACCACATCCATTTTCTTGATATGTATGCATTCAAAGACTTAAATAGATCTGCAACTGTGGTGTTGGTTGGTAGCAAAAGTACACATAATGTATCATTCCACATGCACATTCTCCTGAAAAACACATTGCACAAAAGCATGCATTGTTGCCTTGTGATTAACATGGGCAGACCTGTCAAACCTGGATTGCATGCCAGAGACCTCATTAATCCCTTCTAACAACTGGGCCTCTCTACTATGTCACTAATTTGTCCAGTTACCTTTCCAGGCAAAAGAGGGACAGGTACCACCTTTTGAAATGTGGTCTGTCACAATAGTTCATGACAAATATCCTTAGGACTAGGCAGGGTTAACTCTTCATGAATAATGAAGGGCTTCTTAGTTTAGCAATGTGATTAGCCATTCAGGATGATGTTCTCACTGCAGACATTTTTGATGGCCTTCAGTAATTTCTTCTATTCTTTGTGTTATTTTCTTTTGGAAACACTCCCGTCTTGTGTTTGACCGGCTGCTTGGTCTCCATGTAGCAAAGCAGTTTTGAAACTTTCATGACTTCTTTATATATCCAGTCAGCATATCATCCATAAGAATGAACCCATAATTCTAGCAGAACACTTGGTAATGTCCTTCTGTTGGAAATCTTAACAGTCTCCTGCTATGTTGTGACTGCATTTTCACTCTTTTAAAAGAAGCTCTCTAGTAATCTTTGTCTTTTACTGATTTTGGCTAAAGTTAGCTTGTGAGCTTTCGAATACTATGACTGATACAAGTTCAGCACAGGTAAGAATTATGAATAAAAGTGGCAAATAAAATAATGGGCAGCCTAGGCATGAACTAAAATGAGTGTCAGATTCTGATGTAAAGTCTGCCACCAGATGCAGCTTAATTGCCATTTGCTACTCATTGACAACATTTTGCAATGTTTCCCCAGTGCTAGCATCACCACCTCAGCTCCACCTCAGATCACCAGGCCTTTGATCCTCATAAGGAGCAAACAATATAGATCCCTCACATGTACAGTTCACAGTAGGGTTCATGTTTTCATAAGCATTTAATGCCACTGCTGATAAGACTAGATCTCAGGTGGTAATGTGAGGAACAGGGTGTGAATGTAAATAAAGATCAAGCTTGGCTAGTAGCCTGCTGTACATATCCTGTTTTGTGGCCTAGGTTCTAATAGGACTGAGATTTAGAACTTGGACTTTGAACTAGACAACAGTACCCTGCCTCTTAAAATGTCATTTATTGTCTATGTAAACTTTAACAAGAACTTTATTTACATTTCTTTGCTTATAAAGTTAATTACTATAATTAAACACAGGGGTTAAACATGACAATATATTGAACAATGTAAGTTATAAAAGTAGGAAATGCTCAATACTTCTGATTTTACCACTGGAATATTATCTTGTCATCGTTTGACTATATGACAGGAAACCACATTTGAGATGTATCAAAAATTAAGTAGTTTTAAATTGAATCAGTAATAAGTATCTAGAACTTACTATGTACCACATATTGTAAGAGATACTTCTGAAGAAATATAAGCTTAAGAAGCTTAGTCAAGGCTGAACATGACTGTGAACAACTGCAGTTCCAGCACTCTGGGAGGCAGAGGCAGGAGGATCAACAGTTTGAGCCTGGACAAAGTAGTGATTTTGTCAGACTCTCTCAAATTTAAAATAAATACATAAATAAAATGATTGGGGATACGAAGAACTTGTGACAATTTCCAGTACCACAAAGACAAGAAAGAAAGAAAGAAAGAAAGAAAGAAAGAAAGAAAAGAAATGAAAGAAAAAAAAGAAAGAGGTTTTACTCCCTATGAATTTATTATTGATTGAAAAGGAGAAGATAAGCAATGACTATATACTGATAAAAGGAAGGACAACATCAAAAACAGATAAAAAGTGAAAATGTTTTGTTGTGTTTCCATGGAATTTCAGTATACTCATCTCTAATTTTCAAATATAAAATTTGTGGAAATATTCACAGTGTCAGAGCAAAGAATGAATAGTATGGATCACCTTTTATGGTAATTTTTAGAAATGCCTAAAAATCCAGCAGTCATGGGTTATTTGCACATGTGTGTGTTTATTTCAAGCACATATTAAAAACCATATTCACTAATTTGATAATTCTCATGTCAATAAGAAATAGAATATAAGGCAGTATATACAATACCTTTCAGCTTTATTTTCTTCAATGCAAACCTTCTGTTTCAGATTAAGCAAATATACATGCAAGTAAAAGAGGAAACAAACCCAAGATAAACCAGAAAATGTTACAAACATTTCCTTCTAAGTGATGAGATTATGAACACTTTTTTCACTTTGGCCTTTTTAGCATTTCAAAAGATCATTTATTATTTTAGAACTTAGGAAAAGTGCATATAAAAATAACTCAGTTTTACAATAATGGTAAAAATGTATTTCAAGTTATCCATATTGTTCTCATTTGCAAAGGTATTACTTTATTTTGGTTCTATGAATTGTAAGTTACTATACTTACAGATTTTAAGAAAGCTTCCCTACGTTCTCCTAGGATCTAAATATTTCTACCACATAACCAGGATGGGGCCAGAGCTACCCCCTCTCCCCCCACACACACAGTTTGATCAGAGAGCATTGTTGCTGTGCCCTGGCGGAGTGTGTAAGGTGTTTTGTTCCTTGGTTTCTCTCATCTTGTATTAGAAGAGCTTTGGGAATCAAAGAAAACTGCTGAAGCATTAAATATGTTCCCTGAGTCACAGAAGAGGGAAAGGACTTAAAGAAAGAATCCTAAAGGATGCCAGGAAGGAGCACCCATGCAGCAATGCCAACTGACAGCTTCAGGGCATTGCAAGGTGCATGCAGAACTATTTTTGTTTAGGAAAATTGCTTTACAATTCCCATCTCTTCTGATTCACACTGATTATTCCCGGATACATTCCACTTGAATGGGATTTGATTATATAGCACTTTTTAAAAGAATCCCCATCATATTCCAATTGCAATAGCAGAAAAAAATAGCAAGTTCATTTTTTCGCTGCCCTTTGTGAAGGTGGTTGACCTCTAATTATGTTGTGATTGCTGACCCTGAAGCTGGAAACACTTGCAGTGATCAACATTTTTCATCTAGACATAGATTTAACCATTCACCCTCACAGAAAATAACCTGATTTATTACTTCCTACTTCAGGTCCCAAAACTCTGAAAGTGATTTGCCTCTAAGAACCTACAAGTAATGTCCACAAACACATACACATACAGACATATGTCATTATATTCATTATATATATAAATTGTAAATATGAACAGCTACATATCTGTCTTGACATATACCATTTACTAACATCTCATACATTGTATTCTTTTATTCTTTGAATGGGCATAAATTATTTCTGATGAACTGTGTGCCCAATTGTTTGATACTACTACTTTCTAGGTACATGATTTTATTGAAAAGATTAAAATTATTTCTCAAATCTTCTCAAAATCACTGATAATAGCTTTAATGAATTCATCCAGCATCAATTCAGACTGAAGCAATATTTTAAAAATTATTCCTCATTGTAAAACAGAAAACCTAAAATACAGGACTAAATTCAATTATATTAGAATGACAATTACTTATTCAAAATAGTCAACAATTAGACCAGGGTTTTTGTTTTGAGATGGAATAACCAGCATGCAGGGTGAAATTTGCCTTGATTGAAGAGAATGCAGTCATTCAACCTGTCAATACCTTCAGTTTCCTTAATTCATGGATTATGACTCTTTATTTTTAACCAGAACACATATACACACACAGAGAGACAGAGACAGAGAGACAGAGAGAATGTAGAATTTGAGTTATTGGAATTAATCACTCAAATATGTGTAAATTGAAAACTCCAGGATTGTCTTGACTCAGAACTGAAAGGAAATGCCATCAGGGCTTGGCTCTCTCTCTTTTTTTTTTGGTCTTTTTGAGACAGAGTCTCGCTATGCAGTTCAGGCTGACCTTGAGCTCACTTTGTAGCCCAGGCTCATCTCGAACTCGCAACGGCCCTCCTGCCTCAGCCTCCCAAATGCTGGGATTATAGGGGTGTGCCACCATGCCTGGCCTTGTTTTTTTTTTTTGTTTTTTTTTTTTTGGTTCTCTTCTGACTTCTGTTTATTTCTGAACTGGCTGAGTTCCTAGGTTCAACTGGTGGTTTCATGTCTGTAACTTCAATAGATATAACTGGTCAATGGCAGCACAATCTTCAATCCTCTCATGTGTAGTAATATTATTGGTAAAAAATGTACCTGTTTTCAAGTTTAACTCAAAAAGTTCCCAGTCACTCATTCAAACCCAAGATGTGTCCTTACCATGCCTGAGCCAATTAACACAGTCAAGAAATACAACAATCTCTCCAACTTGCACAGGGCCATGTGGAAATGCAGCTCCACTTAGACCAGGATCACTAGGGTAAGTGGAGGGGAGGATAAGATACCCAGGTGGAAACTTACACTCCCAGAAGAAGTAGTAATGGCTGCTTTGATGCTAACCTACACTACTTACTGAAATTTTCTGAGTCTCATCTCACAAATGGCTGTGAATGTGGAAGAAAACTGTAAACAAAAGACCCAAATAATCTTGATCACCATGAATCTTTTTTTCCCACAGGATTGTTACTAATGTGGTCAAACCACAAGAAAATTATTACACCCATACCTGGTTCTCAGTGAAGCAAAACCTTACAAGCTTCTCAAGGAAAAGCTCCATCTTGTGTTCATAATTTAATAAAGAAAAAAAACAAGAAAAATGAGCAGTGACTCAATAAGACTACTAATCTTTCTGTGTATGAAAAGAATCAGAAGCCCTTCCACAATTCTTTGATGTTGAGTTTACCGTGAGCACAATGTTCTAAATTTCAGCGGTTTGATTGTACTGATGTCACTAATGTACTTCTTAATGAAATGACTTAAGACAATGGACTAGGGACCTCCAAATGTGCATTTACTTTCTCCTGCTGAACAGATTGGTTGACATTTTGATAGATGGTTTCCAGAAGGCTCTAGAAGGATAAAAGGAGATATAAGGGATATTGCCTATGTGTGTTCATGCAAAGGAACTGCACAATTCAGGTAGATTTTCTTTGGTATAAATTAATTTTTAAACAATACATGGTTTTTAGCCCTAGCTAGTGTCATTTAGTTATGCTTTATGTTTAATATATATTCCTGTATTTTTATCAAGGAAAAGTTGTAACTTTAATGATTCCCTCAACACTCAAGAGGAGTAGGCAGTGAAGCAAGTCCTGAAAATCATTACAAAACTGGATGAACCAGAAGCTCCTCTCACAAGGGCCCCAAGGCACCATGCAAAGCAGCAGTGACTGGCCTGGTTCTTATGCTGAGCTAAACTGTACGTGTAATTTTCAATCTGCCTCTATTTGACTTGTTTGTTTAGTCTGACTTGAAAATGTTTTGTTTTTATTTACATGGTAACCGTCATTAATATTTCTTTCAGGAAAAAAGGAAGAGCTGGTTGACACAAAAGAGATGAAAATAACTGATATTAACCTGAGAAATAAGCCAAGTACTTGAAGGCAGAGCATTTTGGTTTGTCAACTAGATTCCTAAAGTGTTATATCTTTAACCTAAAGATCTACTATACTCACTGAAAAAACCTAGGAAGTATAGTTAAAAATTTAAGGTCTACTATTTGCTGACTTGGTGAAAATTAAAAAAAATTATTGAAGTTTCTTAAATATAATTAGTTTGTAATATGATGAGATCTATAACGTGTCCACTATTTGTAGAGAATAAGTAAATCAAGATTTTTCCAGATATTCGTGAGGAATTATTACTCATCATTCTCAGAAATATGGAAATAAGAGTGAAGTCAAAGCTCCATGAGGATGAAATCTCTCCAGGTATTTCTGAGAATCTCAGAACTGTCTTGACTATGCTTGTGTCAAACTGCATTGGCCCGTGTGTTTTCTTTCCTGGGCTGGCATAGTTCTGTGGCTGTTCCGGGAGTTCTGCCTGTTTCCCACCTAGAGGACCCACTTCACTTGCTAGCCAAAGTGCAATACAAACTTTGCTAAATGCGACCAGATTGTTTTCCATTTTCACTGTGGTGCTGAAATACATACGTAAATGAAAACCGTGATTCCTAAAGTGTTATATCTTCCACCTTTTACTCTAAACGATATTGCTCATTCTCTGAGTCTTACACCAATTTTAAAAAATGAAAATCTATTAAATTTATTTCAGTAGCTTCTTTCTTTATATGAAAAATTATGTCTGTTCTCTGTAGCTGGGCTAGAGAATATCTTTATCCCTTGCAAATATGTCTCTTCTGTTCTTTGTTCTTTTTCTTTAAACTGCCCCATAAATTTTTTCACTCCATAAGCCCTAGACAAATCCCTCATGCTAAGTACCTTGAGTTCTCAAAACTTGGTACAAGCTCTACTATAGAGTATCTCCATATATATATGCTTTTAATTTGAATTAAGAAAATATCATTAGGACGCTTATCTTATCTGCTCTTTGACAAATGTATTTTTTTCACTTGGATAACAATTATTGGTAATAAGGCATTATTTAGAAGTTATCTTCAATTTTAATTTTTAAATTTTAGTTAACCTCTTTAAACATTTTGGAAAGTTGGTTACAGAATAATTGCTGACCCAAAATTATTTTATGAAATGTTTTTAGAAGCAAATTAGTTTGCACTAAGTCCTAGAAGAAAACAGATTTACAGAGAAGTTCATAATGTTCTTAAACTTATACTTAGATGGATTTCAAAGAAAAGAAAATAAGAAAAAGAAAGAAAAGAAAGAAGAAAAGAAAAGAAAAGAAAAAAGAAGAATGTAGAGATTTGCCTTACATTCATTTTGGATGGGCATAAATAACCATAGAGCCTATCAGAGTTTTGGGATTATATTTGGGAAGGCAGGCTTTCATAGATCATATTTGGCATCCAAATTTAGTTTTTGTATTTGACCAAGTTAAATATATATTTTTTAAAGATATTTTTTCATAGTTGTGAATTACTCATTGAAGAAAACAGAGAATTTATTAGATTCAGGAGCTGGATTTCAAAGTGAGAAAATGCTTCCTTAGCACAAGTGTGGATAAATGTTTTTAAATTTTTATTAGTAGAGAAAATAGTGTTAAGTTAATTAAACTCTGATTTAAAAATATATCTACCTCAGTTTAGGATGTATATATCCTAAACAAGATTTGTTTAGGAATAATAATACAATACATAGGAACAAAGAGAACCTCTACTTATGAGAAATGGAACAGCCAGTCCTACGGCAGCCTGGCTCACTCACTGTAGAAACAGTGTCAGGAATCTGAGTAAAACTCCCTCCTTTCCCAAGGTAAGCATGAATTTACTGAAGGAGAACTTTTGTAATGGTACAGAGGAGGTGACCAGCCCCCAACCATGGTTTCCCTTTCAATGGTTTCAGTCCCCCTTGGCCAACTGTGATCAGAAAATATTCAGTGGAAAATTTCAAAAAACAATCATAATTTTTAAATTACATATGTTTCTGAGTAGCATTCTGAAATTACATGTCTTTCTTTTCATTCCAACCCTAGGACATGAATCACCTCTATTCTAGTGTGGTCCTGTGGGGTAAATCACACACACACACACACACACACACACACACACACACACACATGCACTTACTGTTAGTTATTTTATACCTCTCTGTGTTATAAAATCAATTGTGGTGTCTGTGTTACAATAGTCCAGTGCCTGTGTTACAATATCCTTTGTCTCATTTCATAATGGCCCCTAATTGCAATAGTAGTGATGCTGGCCATTTTTATAGACCAAAGGGAAGCTGCAAAGAGCTTTCTTTTATGCAAAAGGTCAAAGCTTTAACCTTAGGAAAATAGAAACAAATCATGCCTGAAACTGCTAAATTTTATTGTAAGAATGAATATTCTTTCTCTGAAATTGTGAAGAAGGAAAAATAAATTTGTGCTAATTTGGGGGTCAGACTGTTGTTGGATGGGGTGGTGTCTGGTTGGACCAGTTCTTGTCCGCTTAGTGAACTGGATGGAGATGAACAGTGCATGTAACATTTGAATATTTATTGAAGTAAAACAGAAGAAACAAAGTAAGAGAAAAGAGAAGGCATGACGTACACACAGAATTGACCACTGCAAGAACAAGAGGGCAGAGGCAGTGAAATCATTTTTATCTTTTCCTGATATCAGGTCCAAACTGTCCCATGCAGGGCTCCAAAGTTCCTGCATGCATCTCAGCCATGATGTGACAGCTCTCTGTGACTCACAGGTCATGCCTGCTTGTTCAGCCAAGATTTGCCATGCCTAATTTCCTGTCTCAACACCTGAAATTGCAAAAGATGCAGACACAGAGCATGTGTGCTCACTTAAGATGGAAAGGTTAGTGTGTGCGTGTGTGTGTGTGTGTGTGTGTGTGTGTGTGTAGTATGTATAGGGTATATGGTTTGATACTATCTATAATTTTAGGAATTTTCTAAGAGTTTTGGAGTGTATATGCTGTCCTAAGAGGAAACTACTTTACATCTACTCTGTGTCCTATAGGGGGCTTAGAAGCTGGAAGCAGAAAATACTGGCAAAATGTGGTTATCTTGGAGAACGACTTCCTGAGAACTTAGCATCAGGGGCCACCTGCCCTCCCGAGAGGACCAGCAAATGGGACCAGCTTTTGAGAAATCTGTTCAATCAAATTAATTACTCTCCAATATAGAAACGATACACCAACTGTCTGAATTTGCTGGAAAATATTCACAAGTACAATGATAGCAATCATACCAAAGCTCCTCATCCAGAGAAACTATTCTTAATAATTGAAATGTGTTCTCATCCAGGATTTTTATTTCACATATGCCTCTGACATCACAACAGCTGCATAATTCACTATTTTGTTTTGTTCAAAATTATAGTCTGTATATTTCTCTTCTACTACAAAAATTGAGTCTCCGTCATTTTAAAAGATGATATTATTTGGTTATATGTCTTGCTCAGATTCATCATTTTGTCTTTCCACATTTAATTTGAATTTGCCATTTGTTGGTAGAAATAATGCTGATAGGTATGGCTTCATTCTGAAAGACTTTTTTCTGAAATATTTTTAAATACATAGTAGAGACATAAAATGATGAAAGAAGGAAACTCAGTTTTGTTGAGTTGTTCTAGATTCTTTGTGAAAGCTACCAGGCTCCCACTTTATATCCAATTTGTGCCTTTCACTGAGATTTGAAGGAATGTGACCAACATTCTTCTGTCAGTCAGGTCTTAGATGTTATCCAACCAGCAAGAAGGATTGGGGATGTTAATTTTGTGGGACTACTGGCAAGTAGGAATGCTCCTAATAACCTTTGTTGTTTACTGCTGAAATTGTCAACCTGGACCAGCTCCAGTCTATAGAAAGCAGAAGAGAATAAATAAAACAAAATTACTAGTCATGTAACATTATATAAGTAAGTAGAAAGCAGTTATAATAGTTCTAGTATAAAAAAGAAGAGAAAATTGTCCAACTCCTGACAAAACTTCTAGCGCTCATTCCCGTTGTTAGTGCAGAAGTGCTAGTTAGAGGAAGCAGAACCTACTGGATACAGAATAGTCAGTATGGTCCGGTTCAAGCACCAGACCATTACTGTAGCCCAACATTTGCTAAGCATAGCTATAACTTCCAGAGCGGAAGTACATGGCCATTGTCCCTGGGACATGGGTAGCACTAATGGGTGCAAGGGGTGGTGACCAGGGATAAAATAGCAGGGCAGTGCATTGTGAGTGTAACATGTGAGATACTTGGGATAATGCCTAGTTGCAAAAGAAGAGAACTGAGAAAGAAGAATCATAGAGCCCTGCCATGGAAAGCACATTTTATGGAGGAGCACACATGGAAGTTGAACAACTGGAAAGAGGTTTGCAAAAAACCACTTGTGTTGAAAATGTCCACGTACTGTAGTTTCCAGTATGTCCCAGTCTGAGGACCACTGAGTGAAATGTATATTCACTTTTCTCTGTATTTGTGGATCCATAATTTTGCACTGAGTTTTGTCATGTTATTTGGATAAAATTGAAAAAAAAAAAGTGTTCTCATAACCCAGGCATTTGAGCTTCAACTCTGCTCTTAACAGGCTTCAGTCCAAGGCTTAAAAATACAAATCATCATTACCTTGTATTTTTCTCTCTGTGTATTTCCACATTTACTGACTTAATATATTTTATTAAATCTTATAGATATCTTTGATATCTAGGTGTACATTTATGTCAGAATAATGTTATTTATTCCCAAAGTTTTACACAGTTTTCACTTTAAAGACTCTGAAAAAATGTTAATATCTGATAGTTGGAGCCTGTGCTAGAATTCTTATTCAATTAATATGATGTAGAGACCAGGTATAAACACTGTAATAATAATTATAATTAATAATAATAATAACAATAATAATAATGTGATTTCAATGCTCAGCTAGTGCTCAGAGGAACTGATCCAGTCATGAAAAAACCCTAAAAGAAAACTAGTGAACAGACATAGTATGAGCTGCATCACGACTAAGAGGTCTTTTGAGTTACCATATTCCTCAAATGTTCTGTTTCTGTTTACCAAAGCAGTTGGAAAATACATATTAAGTAATCATTTCAAGAATCACTTGGAAATGGGATTAGCCCCATATATGCATTATTGAGATAAACTAAAAATTACTTCTGCAAGCTCCCAAGCTTATTAAAAAATCAATTCCAAATCAGATTTACTAAGGCTCTAAGTGAAGGACTAAGAAGTAAAGCAATTTTACAAGAGTTTGAAGAAAATTTGATGTACATTTCATGTCCCATAGTATTGAGCTTACTGGAAGCAAGTTTTCAAATTACTAAAGATGGATAAAAAGATGAGAAACCTAGATCTTTTAAATATCTGCAATTGTAGAAAGTACTGCAGGAGCTTCATAGCCGTTCCTCCTCAAACCCTTTATGAAATAAAGGTTTGAATAAAGCCTGAAGCATGGGACAAATGCCACTTTTCCAGTCAATTGATTTGTACTAAAGTAGTTTCTTCTAGATACAAAGTAGAGTGAATGCATACATACTGCATATTCTTCAGTGAAAATAGTAATTATTCTCCCTGGGCAAAACTCAGAGAAATCAAATTGGAGGCTCTTAAAAATTCTGCTTATATCTTCCAGAAAGAAAATCAGTTGGAAGATAAAGGGCTCAAAGGATAAGGAAGGTTAATTGCCAATTATACAAAAAATTACACACAAGCAAGAATAAAATCTACTTTCATGCACTGTTGCCCTTTCTTGAATTTCTATGGTGCTATTGTTTTCTTTAAACATTATTCCAAATTAGTTTGGTTGATGTCACTGTTGTTTAGATTTAGAACATTCTCAAAATATAAAACAATAAAAGTGACCATAAGCTGTGGATTGAACAAAGAAATGTCTCACGGAGAAAGAGTATGAACTGAAAATGAAATTAACAGGTTCATGAGCTCTCCTGAAGTTTATTAGAACAACTGGAAAGTTAAATATTCTATCCAGCTGTGGTGTGAATGCTATTCTATTTTAAAATGATAAATTTAACAGTGTTTCTTTGGATTTAGGAAACATTAAAGCCAATAGATTGGAGTCTAATAATTTTCCTTATATTTGGATAAGACATATAGAAGTTCCTATCCTATAGGACACCCAGAATTTTCTATAAAAGTGTCCAACTGGTCCTCCTTTCCTGTTTAGCTTTTTTAACAATGTTATATTCAGTGGTGTTCCACTTGGATACTTCATCAGAAAGAGGTTGCATAAATAAATGTACTGTGTACATGTTTATTTGATAAACTGATTTGTTAAAATTCAAGGATTTCTACTTCTTATATGCTGATGGTTCTGGGCCTGAAAATAGGATAATTAAATGTGTATGTTAATTAGTTAACTAATGTTATCCTCACGGTAATGTGTCAAAGCTAAGAGCAATGGGCTGAATAATTAATGTGTTGCCCATATACATTGAAATAGATAATTTTGTAACGATTTTATGCCTGAAGGTGTTGGTCATTGTGCTCTTTTTTTTTTTTTTTTTTTTAGCTTCTTAGTGATTACAAGCATCTTGTTAGGGTCCTCTTTTTCTTTATATGTAAAAGTCAGTAAAAGTTAGTGGGGAGCTAATTTTTCAGTACCAACCTCAGTTACTGCCATCTACAAACCCATTTTCAACCAACATTCACAATTCTGTGACTGTGTGTATGACTGTGACCTCTATGCTTTGTTAACTCACAGAGTACGAAGTGAATCTAGGAAGTAGAATGTTTGGATTTTCATGATTGCAAAGCCTGTACGACCTCTCTGTGAGTGTAGGCTGTATCTGTGATTTTGAATTATTCCTATAACTATAAAAAAATCTTGCAAATGTGATTCGGGTACTTTTTAATCAGTGTACTGTAAATTAGTCAAATGAGAGTTGATCTTGGAACAGCTAGATTTAACTGGCTGAGTTCTTATAGAGGACATGACTCAGCAACAGGTGCTTCTCTGTTTCCTTTGAGCAATGAGCTGTCATGTTGTTAGAGGAGTGGACCTTGTGACAAGGACCAGAGGGTGATGTCTACAAACTGACACTCATCTTTGGCCCAGAGCTAGCAAGAAAATGTAGTCTCAGTTGAACATAGGCACACAAATGAATTCTGCAAAACATCAATCAGGTGGAGGAGGACAATAAATGTTGGTTGAAGTTGTAGCTTCAGTTACCACTTTGATTTCTATGGGTGAGATCCTGAACTGAGGATTTAAATAACCTGTACTTGACTTCTGACACACAGAAATGCTCAACTCATAATTTTGTGTTGGCTTAAGGCACTAACTTTAGAAAATTTTCTGCATAGCAATAGCTAAATATTACAGAGACGAGTTTGAACTATAGATAGTGGAATGATAAACGTTTCATGAGGAAGACAGGTGGAAAGTACAGTGGATAAAAGGGAAGAGCATTAACACCTTACAAGGATAAGGTGACTTTGTGAAGAGATGAAGTGCAGATTGAGACTCAGAGTTTGGTTCTGTCTGAAACATGCATTTACTAAGTAGTTGTTACATAAAAACGTCCTAATCCCAGGTCACGAACAGCTAAGCTATTGACCTGCAGTGCAATGCATGGAGTGTGCTGCAGTTGAGGCCAGAAGTAAAGGGTGCCCACAAACAGACGAAGCTGTTTGGCAGTTCAGTATGAAATAACCGCTATGCCAAATGCTTGATGTGCACGGACTTGCTTAATCCTCAGAAGGACATAATGGCATAAATACTAGTGTTATTCCCATTTTTTTTAAATAAGACGTTTGCAATACAGATAGAGTGAAGAAATCATCCAAAGTCATGCAACCTAACAAAAATGATTTTAGACTTTCTGGTCATAACTACAGTATTATAAGAAAAGAACACAAAGAGGTGAAATAGTTTACTACATTTTCTGAAGTTTTGTCCTGAGATGTTATTTTCAACTGGATAAAGAATATTGACAAATTTTACTTCATCTTGGTTAATGTACCATTGGTCTGTTTTTCCTAAATTAGCAAATACAGGTGAAACTGTGCAGAAATAAAAAATATGGTTACATTTTGGGATGATATTAGACTTAATATTACTAATAATTATTGAATGTGAAAGAGGTCTGAGATGGAATTGGAGCAACTAAAATAAGAATTACTTAAATAAATGTAAACTGGGATAAATGACTATACATTCAAAGTATATTATGAAGGAAATTAATTTCATAATACATTTATGAATACATTATGAAGGAATTTAATGTGACAGGGCTTTTGCCTGAAATAAAATAAATCTCTATGTGATGCAGTCCAGTGACAAAATGTGTCACGATAAAAGTCATTTGAACTTTTAAAGGTTTGCAGCAACGGAAAAGGACGATGAAGGTTTGCTGTGCTATTGTGTTGCATATCATTTTGCGTTTAAAAGTTTGACTTTATCCTAAATAATTATTCTACAAAATAAGATTTACTG